TGATTAATTGATTAATTGGCAGTATGTCCCTTAACTCCCTTATAAATGTGCAATTTGCATATTTGGTACTCACTATTTCAAACAGTGATGCTTTCTGTTTACCTCTGTTTCTAATATTTGGTTTGTTTTGATTTTGGCACTACTTGCATAAGTTGATGAAGCTCAATGTAAATTATGCTGATATCAACTTCTTATAATTTTTGTCTATTAATAAGTGAAGATATTGATGTTTGAAATCAAGAAGCTTGTTAACTAAACTGAAACAGAGGAAGCTTGTTAACTAAACTGAAACGGAGGAAGTACATGATTATATGCTATTCTCTCCGTGTTTTTATAAGTGCTTCATTTTGACCAAACACGCATGTTAGGCATAATTTTGACCATATGTAATTATATGTTACTCCCTCCGTCCCTAAAAGAACGATCCTTTTGGGTATTTTTATCGGGTATTAAGAAACTTAAGTGGGAAATACAAATGTATGGGGAAGCTAATAAAAATACTTTGAAAGGTAAATTTACATGGGATTTGTAAAAAAAGTAGAGAGCGGAAGTAATAAAAGTGCATGGAGAAAACAAAATTTACATAGGGAAGTTAATTTTGCACAAATATTATTGCAAATTGAAGGGTATATTAATGCAAATGGGATGAACATTTTGGGACTAAAATTTTGCCAAAAGAGTCGTTCTTTTAAGGATGGAGGGAGTAGTAAAATTATAGGAAAAATGATATTATGAAATTATACATTTATAATGAGTCCAACACTTATTTATTCAATAACTTTTGTTTTTAATATATTAGTAAATCAATCAAGTCAAAACCATTATGATTGAAAAAAGTCAAATTGTAACACCTATTAAAACAGGAAGGAAGTAGTCAATTTGGTTCTAAAGCTTCAGATTAGTATAAATCCTCTTGATGTAAATAGCTAGTTTGGATTTATTATTTTTGCAACAAGTTATGTGAAGAACAAGTTGCAAGATTTGCAACACTGTATGGATGGCTAGTGAATTATAGTTTGGTTACATATTGTTGAAAAATACTATTTGCAAGTTAGTTTTGATTATGTAATAAATTGCTTCCAAAGTATGGACCATCATTAAGTATAAATGTTAATAATACTGAATATCATGCAATCTCATCTCCTCAAATAGCTTGCAGTTCATAAGTTTTGGCATTGGACTTTGTGCTATTTGATTGGTTTAATTTATCTTATTTGCACCACTAATCAAAATTTTGGATCAGCTACTGCATGAAAGCTATCCAGTATTATATTGTGGGATTGTTGGATTGGTATGATTTGCTTATGGCACGATATTTTTGTTGTCACATGCCCAAATCATCACCTGGCCAAATGTACTTGGCTGAGGATTTCACAATTTGTCAGTTCTGGGTTTTTTACTCTTTATTAAGTTATTTTTACTCTTTATTAGGTTTTTTTATTAAGTTAAAAATCTGAGTTTCATATTTTTTTTTCCTTATAGCCTTCACCCATCTTTACTTTTGTTTTCAATAAATTATTTATGTTCTTTCATGTTTGTTTTTACTCTTTATCAGACACAAACTTCCTTTTGATGGGCTGATCCTAGGTTTTCTTGCTGCTGTTGTGAAAAAATCAATCTACCCAATTCTTTAATCTACAGAAAGATCATATATGCATCTGTTCCATTTCTCACTAACTTTGCCTTGATGAATTAGGTTGGTTTTTTACCCTCCCATATGGATGAAAATTCACCAAATAGTGAGGATCTTATTGATGAAATAGAAGACCAAGAAGATGATGGTGATGAGATATTTGAAAATGAAGGACTTGACCATGAGAGTGATGGCCACCATGGGTTTGGAATTGAGGGTGATCATGAGAATGATGGTGAACAATTTTTTATTGATGCCAGTATACACGAGGAGAGTGAGCAAGGGATTGAGCTTGAAGGTGAGGATCACTGCAGTGATGGTCAGCAGTTCCTTGAGGTGAGGGATCATATTGCCGACAATGACACCTTTCAAGTGCTTAATCTTCATTGCAATGGCGAGGAGAATAACCTAGGAAACAATACAGTGGGTGTGGATGATGAAGACAGCTCATCTAAAGAAAAATATTACCATCCACCTGTTGTGGGCATGGAATTTGAGTCCTATGATGACGCTTATAACTACTACAATTGCTATGCTAAGGAATTGGGCTTTGCTATTAGAGTGAAATCATCATGGACAAAACGGAACAGCAAAGAAAAGCGCGGTGCAGTACTCTGCTGCAATTGTGAGGGTTTCAAAACATTCAAAGAAGCAACCTGCCGGAGGAAGGAAACAAGGACAGGTTGTCTAGCAATGATAAGGTTGAGGTTGGTGGAATCAAATAGATGGAGAATTGATGAAGTTAAACTCGAACACAACCATTTATTTGATCCTGAGAGGGTGCAGAACTCCAAGTCACACAAGAAAATTGAAGTAGGTTTAAAAAGAGACTTAGAGCCAACTGTTGATGTAGAAGTGCGAACCATTAAGTTGTACCGAACATCTGCAGTCGATGCAGCCAGTTCTTGGAATTTAACTACCATGCAGACTGAGAATGGTAACCACATTCGGTCCTGTTGCTTAAAGCTTAAAGCTGGAGATTCACAAGCAATACACAATTATTTTTGTCAGAAACAATTGACAAGTCCAAATTTTTTTTACATTATGGATTTGAATGACGAAGGTCAATTGAGGAATGTGTTTTGGATAGACTCCCAGTCAAGGGCTGCATACATTTACTTTGGAGATGTTGTGGCTGTTGACACAACATGTTTGTCAAACAAATATGAAATACCACTTGTGACTTTCATTGGAATGAATCACCATGGGCAGTCCATCTTGCTTGGTTGTGCTTTCATTGCAGAAGAAACTGTGGAAACCTATGTATGGCTATTTAGAACATGGCTTACATGTATGTTAGGGCGCCCTCCTCAAACTATTGTCACAGACCGATTCAGAGCTATCCAAAGTGCAATTTCTGAAGTGTTTCCTCGGGCCCATCATCGGTTTTGCTTGCCACTTGTGATGCAAAATATCTTTCAGAACTTGGGCCAGATGGAAGAATTTGAAGCATTTCAGTCATTCTTGAATGGAACAGTCTATAATTCCCTAAAAATTGATGAATTTGAGACTTCATGGGATAACATGATACAGCGATTTGGAATTAAGGAACACAAGTGGCTTCAGATCTGGTATGAAGATCGAGAAAAATGGGCCCCCGTTTACCAGAAAGACACATTTCTTGCAGGACTTTTTGCTGTTCAAGCAGGTGAGTCTAGTCTTTTTTTTGCTGGTCACATCCATGAGAGAACCTCAGTAAAAGAATTCTTTGATTTGTATGATGTTATCATTGAAAAGAAACGACTAAAAGAAGCACTCGATGATCTTGAGTCTGGTGGATCCAACCTCTTGTTAAGAACAAGATGCTATTATGAGCTACAGCTATCCAAATTCTATACTAAGCAGATATTTGAAAAATTCCAAGTTGAAGTCGAGATGATGTCTTGTTGTGTGACTATTAATCAAGTTCATACTTCTGGGCCTGTCACAACGTATGTGGTTAAAGAATGTGAGAATGGAGGCATCAAAGAATTGAGAAATTTTGAGGTGATGTATGATAAAGCAGCATTTGAAGTTCGCTGTGTGTGTGGTGGCTTTTATCTTAATGGTTATCTTTGCCGGCATGCCTTGAGTGTTCTTAACCTCAATGGTGTGGAGGAAATACCATTCTCTTATATTCTCCAACGATGGAGGAAGGACTGCAAGCACTTGTATGTGCCAGATATTGGTTCGAATGCCATTGATATTAGCAATCCAACTCAATGGTATGATCATTTGCACAAACGAGCAATGCAGGTAGTTGAAGCAGGTATGGTGTCACAAGATCATTACATGGTGGCTTGGCAAGCCTTTCTAGAGTCCTTGAACAAAGTTCGCCTTACAGAAGAAAAGAATTTATGATGTGTAATATTCATGATGTAAAATTTTGTTAATTAAATTAAATTATTGATCAATGTGTGCATTGACTGTATTCAACCTCTTCACTTGTCTCATTTCATATTTTCTTGTCAGCTTAAACATCAAATTTATTGGCTTACAATATATATGCAATACATCAATTATCAGTTGTATGTTTTTTGACATCAGTATTTCCATTATTTCCTATACAGTAATGCCCTCCCAAGAGCAGCTAGTCCTTCTTGTCTTGGCACTTGTGTGGCATGCATGTTACTTTCCAGGGCTAGGGCCTCGTATTCAATTCGAGCAAGACTGCTAAGGTGTACAAGATTGCCATAGGCACCTTGAAAATCTGTTAGTACTGAATTTGACAGAGTCTGAGAAAATTCAAACAGAGCTAATAATCCTAATATCATGCTGGATAGTGGATACACCACCTGATTGCAGCAAGGCAGGCTAATAGGCTGGGTTACTCTGAATTAGATGCCTTTCCCCTGCTAAAGAAAGTGAAAGGAAAATAAGAAGATTCGGTTAAATTAAAAGAAAAAAAATGCAATAAGACTTTTGGATAAGCTCCAAAAAATTTAAGAACAATTCAAAAGAGTGATGTGTTGATAATATGATTTGGTGGTTGTTTTTCCGTATGATTTTTACCTAACAAAATTAAGACTTTTATATGTGCTATATCATTATATAGGTAAAAAAAAAGAAAAAAAAAGTGTGTTATAATGGCGTTGTAATAGTGTTTTGAATTTAAGATAATGTTTTAACAAAGTTTAAAATAGAATTGTTTTTAGCTTAAGGGTGAGGTGAGTTTTCTAGGTTGGAATTAGGGCATATTTACATTTACTTAATTTTAGTTTAGTTCAGTTCAGCTCCAATCAGTTCAGTTCAGTTTAGCTCATAATTTCCCTCTCTCATAAATTATTCATTTCAGCTTAGTCAATTCAGTTCAGCTCCAATCAGTTCAGTTCAGTTTAACTCAGTTCAGTAAATGTGAACAGACCCTTAGTTTTTCTTTTTCTTTTTCTTTCTTGAGTTAATTCAACTTTTTTTTTTCCATACAATTTCTTTGTTTTTTTTTCTTTTCCAAAAATATGATACAATAGTATAACATTTACTAGCAAACCTACTCCACTATGAAGCATGAGCATGACAAATACTTTTAACAAACCCTTAATGGTTGGCTAATTACTTAAGAAAAGATTATTGCATTAACTAATCAAGGAAAAATTTGTTCATCAGTACATATGAAGAGTTGAAGACACATCTCTTGGACAATGTTTTCTCAATGTTTTAAATACATATTGTTTTAAATACGTAGTTTAACGATTAATAATCAACAATTAAACTTTCAATTAAAACTTGTTCTCTTTACTTGAAATAAGGTGATCTAATTAGATTTTAATAAAAGTTCTTGTGTAATTTAGTCCATCTTTTTAGTACACAGTATGACAAATTGACCAATAATTTAAATAAAAAAAATACTCCATAATAATAATAAATAAATAAATAAAATAAACATTACATCAAAATGTAGAGCAAAATAGGTACTCCATAATAATAATAAATAAATAAATAAAAGACAGTTCCCAGTTTTTATTTTTCGACACCCTAAATCCGAAGAAATAAAACAAGAACTCATAAAAATCCCAAATGAATTTATGGCCCCCACTTTCAAGTAGTGTTGACGATCACACAGCTTCCCAGTTAATTCGTAAGTTCATCTAATTCTTCAATTACAATGCTTCAATTTCTTGTCTTTAAATTTTATGCAAATCAATTTGTTATATTCTGGAATTTTGAATTTTTTTTTTTTTTTATTTTTTACAGTGCAATGTATTGATATTGTTCATCGAGTTGATTACTGATTGCCAATACTATTATCTGACGAATTTGTAGAATTTAACTATTAGTTTTGATTTTGCCCTAAAATTTCACAATTTTGTATTTTTTTTTTTTGAATGATGATAATCTGTATATTGGGTGCTTGTTGATTCAAATTTTATTGATGAATTATTAATAGCTTTAGCATTTGTATGATTCCCGCATTGTTGAAATGCAACAATTTTATGTAATTTTTGCAGAGTGTTCAAAGGTTTTGCTGGGATTCTAGCTTAATTAGCATTTTAGTAAAGTTAGACCTCTTTGTTTATCTATATATGATGCTATTTCAAATGCCACGGTTCGTTGAACTCCCTTTATAGAAGTATATGTCCAGCTCTTGGAACTCAGCAATCGAATGTGTGATTTGTTGTTCTTAAATGTGGGATTGGAAGTGGGTTTCGTGTGGTCGAGCTAATTTTTTAAATCATCTGTAAAAGAATCAAATTGGCCTGTATTGGGATTCAATTGAGTGTGGTTTTGAATGAAGCTTGACTGAGCCAAATGTTAGCAACTAGCCATAAGGGTTTGAATCCCATTGTACTTGAATTGTTTGTGTTATAGCTTTGTTTGGGCAGCTATCGCCTTAGGTGACCCGTGACCAGCAACCAAGGTGTAAATCTTTGAATTTTCTTTTATTTCCCCCCTTTTTATTATGGGTGTGGGGTGGGGGAGGGGTGCGCAGACTTAAGAGTGAACTAAGGGGGCTTGATTAGTCGAAATAAATCGAACTTTATACAAAGGATACTGATAGAGATATATTGCTTTTATAGAAAGTTTTCTCTAGGTAAGAACGCCACTGTGGATGTCAAGCTTCTTGAAGGTAATTAGGAAAAGCTTTGAGCTTGACATTTATTTTTCTTTTAAGCATTTGGGGGACTTTAGTTGTTGCTGTCGCATTTGCTCAAACCAGCTTGAACTATATATGCTAACATTGCATACAAGTAAAAGTAAATAGAAAAATTAAGTCAGTAGGGAACTCTCGAGCTGTACCAACATTTTATCCATGTTTAATCTTAATTCAAATATCACAAAAAGTTAAAAGGAATAATGGGTTTGTAAGTTCCTATTCTCTATGACCAATCCGATTTGGTGCTTACTACTTTAGATTATATGTTTATGCTCTTCATATTCAATCTTCACTCTTGTGTTGGTTTTCTAATATCCTTATCATGTGTGATCTCCAGGGCTTGATCTCTTCTTCTTTACCCTTTGACTCCCTTTCTTACACAAGATGGAAGAAGAGTCAGGTAATATTGGGATAGTACAAGATGATGTTGTTAGTATAACTCTGCAGAGTGAGGGTAACAGGGAAGAACTAGATTTCTACAACATAGTAGCTGATGGAAGGAAAGAATTTGTTGCTCCTGCTGTTGGAATGGAATTTGAGTCATATGATGATGCATACAACTATTATAACTGTTATGCCAAGGAAGTGGGCTTTCGTGTCAGAGTGAAAAATTCATGGTTTAAACGGAATAGTAAGGAGAAATATGGTGCTGTACTTTGTTGCAGTAGCCAAGGTTTCAAAAGAATCAAAGACGTGAATCGTTTGAGGAAGGAGACCCGTACTGGGTGTCCAGCAATGATCAGAATAAGACTAGTGGACTCAAGAAGATGGAGGATTCTCGAAGCCACACTTGAACACAACCATTTATTGGGACCAAGAATGTACAAGACAATAAAGACTGTTGAGGCTGATTCGAAGAGGAAGTCTCTCTTTAACTCTAATGCAGAGGGACAAACAATTAAGCTATACAAGGCAGTTGTCATAGACAGTAGTGATACTGGATGTCTGAATACCAGTGCGAAAGAAACCCCAAGTTTCTCTAATCATCATAATCAGCTGCACCTCAAGAAAGGCGATGCACAGGCCATTTATAATTACCTCTGTCGTATGCAATTGACTAATCCAAACTTCTTTTACCTGATGGATTTCAATGATGAAGGGTGTATCAAACATGTCTTCTGGATAGATGCTAGGTCTAGGGCTGCATGTGGTTACTTTGGTGATGTCATATTCTTGGATAACTGTTACTTAGCAAACAAATATGAAATTCCCTTGGTGGTGTTTGTTGGAGTAAATCATCATGGCCAAACTGTGTTATTGGGTTGTGGTCTGCTTGCTGGAGAGACAACAGAGTCATACACCTGGTTACTAAAAACATGGCTCAAATGTATGTCTGGTCACTCCCCACAAACCATAATTACAGATAGATCTCAGACTTTGCAGAGTGCAATTAGCGAGGTGTTCCCTAGATCGCTTCATCGTTATGGTATTTCACTAATAATGAGAAAAATACCTGAAAAATTGGGAGGATTGCGTAACTATGATGCAATTAGGAAAACTTTTGCTAAAGCAGTCTATGAAACATTGAAGGTGGGTGAGTTTGAGGCTGCTTGGGGACAGATGGTTCAGCAACATGGAATTGCTAATCACGAGTGGCTGCGATCTTTGTATGAAGATCGTGTCCGATGGGCACCAGTCTACTTGAAAGATACCTTCTTTGCTGGTATGTCAACAGCACGGCCTGCTGATATTCTGCATCCATTTTTTGAGAAGTATGTACATAAACAAACACCCCTTAAAGAATTTTTTGACAAGTATGAGTTAGCGTTACATAAGAAGCACAAGGAAGAAACTCTTTCTGACATTGAGTCAAGAAGCTCAAGCTCTCTGTTGAAAACAAAATGCTCTTTCGAACAGCAACTGTCAAAGATCTATACAAAAGAAATATTTCAGAAATTCCAGCTTGAGGTGGAGGAGATGTATTCCTGTTTTAGCACAACACAGCTCCATGTTGATGGACCGTACATAATATTCTTGGTGAAAGAACGTCTTCTTGGTGAGGGCAACAGGAGAGAGATTCGAGATTATGAAGTTTATTACAATAGAGGATCAGCCGAAGTTCGATGTATCTGCAGCTGCTTTAACTTTAATGGTTACCTCTGTAGACATGCATTATGTGTCCTTAATTTTAATGGGGTAGAGGAAATACCAGCAAAATATATATTGTCAAGATGGAAAAAGGAGTATAAACGCTTGTATGTCATAGATCATGCTAACAACACTATAGATATCAATGATCGGATTCAACGGTTTAATCAGTTGTATAGAAGTGCATTACGAGTTGTAGAGGAAGGGGTTATCTCCATAGATCATTACAGTAGTGCTTCACAAGCCTTTGAGGAGTCATTGAACAGAGTCCATAATGTAGAGGAGAAACAAGAGTAGCATATGTTGTAGCTAAAGAATAATTTGTTGATAATTGTTGGTGCTGCTTGGAAATTTGTGAGCAGAAATATATTCTTTCTTCCTCCAGTGGATCTTTTTTCCAATCAAATGCGTCTCTTCTACATTTCAGCAGGAAGCAAGCTAAAGATCTGCAGGAAATGTGTCAGGGTATGACTTTGCCTGACATCATGCTTATTTACATGGTAATATACTAATATTTATGTCTATCTTGGAAGATTAGAAATGATTGATGTCCTTTCAACTTTAACACAAAATAAATTGAAATGATTTTAGGGAAATTCTCATGTGATTATTAATTTATTTTTTACAGCAGGAGTAGATCTTGGTCTTCTACTTATCAATTCATCATCCTCTTCTTCAATCCTGTGAGTATCTGAGTTTTCATGTTAATGCAAAATAAGCTTTAATGCTTAATCTTTGAGGTGAAGGTTTTTGAACTTTTTCAGTGGTTCAATCTTCCAACTAGATTTTTTGACTACTTCCATATCTTAAATTTAAGGACTGAAATTAGATGTATCATGTATGTGTATAATGACCTATCTTCATGTATAGTATTTAGATTTGAGATCGTAGTTGCAAGTGTTCAGAACATGGTAATTTGACTGCAATAACCAGAATACCATATCATGATGGTTTATCCTATCTGAAACTCCTGTATGTTGTGATACATCAAAGCATACTGTTGCATAATGCTTAGACAAATTCTTGCAGTTTTGGTAATTATAATAATATCTCGGTCAATCTGTTTGTTTCAATAGCTTTTCTACTTTTTGTTTTTTTATTTTACTGGCAATCTTGCATTAACTGCTGTTTATGTTTATTGCTCTGCTAGATGAATATGGTATCCCCCCTTAAAAGTACTGAATGTACTGGAGATGATGTATCGGTGAAGCTGAAGAGTTTAAGGTTTAAGGAGAATATAGAGTGACATAATTTATTGGACAAAATGATATATCCATGAATGTGATATGGTTTTGAGTCTTACACAGCTTTTGCAATTATAAAGCTGAGGAACGAGAATTAAAGCAAGGTTGCAAGCACTAATAGCCTAATTAGCCAATGTACTTATAGTTGATGATCGTTTTCTGGAAAACAGGAATCTGCAAATTCTGCCATAAGGTAAAAGAACTCGTGATTGTTACTAGTTTGAATTTGTATTCTACTAGGAGTATGTTTTTTAAAAGAAAATGTAATAGCAGGAAATGAATCAGAAGGTTGTAAATTCTACAGTAATTGCACAGAGTATTTGATACCTTACCATACTTACAGATAATACCATAAAAAAATGAGGCTATCAGACCCGATTATGAACTTTCTTCTTTGAAAGGTCTCAAGTCTCTCAACTATTAAAAAAGGTGGAGCGGTGAAGAAAAAAGGTCTATTATGAAAAGGGAAATTAAATTACTAGTACTTTTTTTACTCCAATATTTTAACCATTTTATTCTTATTTACTTCTAGAACTCCATTATTTTTTCTAAATGTTTTTCGTTTGCTCACTTTACTCACCTTTATTCACTCTTCTAAATGATTATTTTGTTATGTTCTTTTTTTATTATTATTTATATTGTACGGGTCTTTATTACTATTCATGTTAGTCGGCACTATATTAGTTTTATTTTTTAGTTTTTTTTTCTCTAAACTTTAAATTGCTTAGCTACTTCTTATCTAATTTCATAGAACAAAAGACGAACTTAGATCCATTTTAAGATAGTGTTTTTTTGAACAAATAAACAAAAGATAGTGTTTATAGAGTACTATAATACAATTACATAACAAGAAAATAATTGAGAAAATGAAATTTTATTAGTATCCACTTTTTAAAAGTCAATTTTTGTGAATACTCCATTGTATATAGTAACCATTTTTTTTAAAAAAAATGTTAATAATTAACTACCTTTTAATAAGATTATGTTCTGAGAAAATATTGCCTTATAAAAAAAAATTGTAATTAATCTTTAACTAACATGTGTAGCCGGAAAATGAATATTGACTTGAAATTTAGGCATTGACCAGCCACGTACTCAAGCGACTTTAATTGACCCCCCAAATTTCCCTAAACTTTTCCCATTTCCTCTTTTCTATTCTCTCTCCTCTTTGCATTAATCTTCTGTAGAAATCCCTTTTGCTTATATATGCCAACTTTTTAGGCATATTTGTCACAAACTAAAATGTTGTTAAAAATAAAAAATTCATACCAAAGTGGTTTAATGACACACTAAAGGCTACACATACACTAGATTGCCCAAAATCTTATTCTTTGGATTTCTACAGTTCTACTAAAATTCTTACTCTTTGGATTTCTAAAAAAATTGAGCTTATATCATAAAACTAAACAAGTTATCCATAAAAGTACTAATGCTATACATAAAAATTGATGGCAAAGGTAAGGTCTGTGCAATATATTCAAAGTACAACTCAGGTAAACCAACATATTCAAAAGATAGGAGTATTATCATACAGATCTTGATCATGAAATCGGAAATTAAATATTAAGACAAAGTATTTTGCAATAACAATCTACTAGTGTACTTGTTATGCAATAACAATCTATTAGTGTACTTGTTATAATAATACACACATGTTCAAATTTAACATATTACACCGAAACACATCTTCAGTAAAGTAGTAGTTTGAATCCTTGAGGACAAGACAGCCTTGCTGCAGGAAGTGTTCCTGGGTTTCGTCGTCTGGGTAGTTGCGAGATGATGACACCAGTTTTCTCAAGGATGGTCTGCTTGTCACTATCCATGGTATTATATTGAAATCCACTTTTTCACAGCAACTTATGCTCAAGTATCTCAGTTGTTTACACAATATCAGCACTTCCTTTACCCCTTGTTCTGTCACTTTACCGCAATCCTGCAGATTCAGGTGAACCAATCTGGGGCAGATCCTCCCTAACTTTGTAAGCAATCTATCATTTATTCCTGAAAATTTCGCAACCAACTTCTCTAACACGTAAAACTCCAACTCCAGGTCATTTTCAGTTAAATACTTGATATGATGGGATCCTGTTATATCCAGTTTCACAAGCCTCCTGTTGTACTCTAGGATATCAGGAACATTCAGTTTATCATGGCGAAGGAAAAAACAGTGGCGTAGCCTGAGCTTCTCCACTTCGGGACATATGTAAAGAAGTCTTTTCAGAACTGATGCACGAAATTCATCATGAGATGATAGGTCCAAGTACTTTACTGATTGGTTCTTCTTCATTAGACCGTCATACTTGTAATCCTCTTTTCCCAAGCTTGAATCAGTCATCGCAAAATGGCATAGATGAGAACATCTTTGTGTGATCATAACAAAAGCTGAATCAGATAGATTGGAACAATCAAAGAGCTTAATTGATGTCAGGTTTTGGAGAAAAGACGACAAGTACTCTATATGCTCATTTGTCAGGAATTCTACTCCCCTAAGTCCCCCCAATTCAAAAGATTTCAGAGATTGAGCAGTGTGCAGTAGGAGCCTTGAGATCCCAGTAAACGTGAAGCTTTCGCAATCTGTTAGAGCCAAGTCAGTAAGAGACATCCGTGCTTCTGTTAAAGAAATGAGAAACTCATCCGATATGTCAACATGTTGGAGCCTTAGAGATCGTAAGTTGGGTAGGAAACTAGAAGAGCCATTGACTCCAAATGAATCAATCTTAACACCTTTACATATGTATAAAAAGTTCAAATGATGGCTATTGTTAACAAGGAATGAAATTCCTTCTTCTGTCACAGTACTATAATCATAAATTTTAATATGCTCTAGTAATTGACAGTTTTTTGACAGCAAAACAAGGGACTTATCTGAAATATGTGCTTTGTTCGAAAGGTCTATCTTGCGCAATCTCTTGAGCTTGGATGACATGTAATCCACCCCTTCATCAGTCACAGTAATAGTATACACTCCTTCATGATCGATACAAAGTTCTTCAAGATTAGGAAACGAGTCTGCTATTCTGACAAGATCAGCATCTCCCTGTCCACCTGAAAATGTGAGTGCTTTATTCTTCATGTTTGAACCCAGCTCTTCTAACCAAAGTGCTCGTTGACTGTGAATATCAGACAAAGCCAACAACTCTTCCAAGTCCAACCCGGACCGTGCAATTGCAACAACAGCTTCATTCAGGTCTCCTCTCAAGTTACAGAACCGTATATTCTTAAGGTTGTAAAATCATTGCAGCAGCCTAGGGAGGATTGAGATTGGTGTATAATCTGATAACTTTATGCTAACTCGCACGGAATTGGTAATTGATAGGAATCTCTTGCAGACTAAAGTGATTGATTCTTGGTCACTTTTATGTTGGAGACGATCAAAGATCATCTCCCAGCATTCGTCGAGCAATTCTTTGCTTTCTTCTTCTTCCATTTCCATCTGCTCTGATGGGATCATATCAGATTATCAACATGAGAAAATGTATTGCTTTTGACTTGGTTTCAATTTTTTTTTTTTATTTTTTTTATTTTTTTTATTTTTTTTTTATGCAGTTATGTAATATGCTTTATTGCTTTGACATAGTTTCAATTACGTGATTGATCACCTAAATCTAGATACGAAAAATTCCCTTAACAAGTTACTCAGTCCTTCTGAAGTTTCAAATCATATCTTTGAACATATCATATCTCATAGTTGATCTACTATGAGATATGATTTGTTGAAAGATGTTTAACAGTGTCATTATTGAGAGGGCTGTTCATAGGACCGGACCGGGTTGACCCGGACCAGACCGAAGACCTAAAATTTTAATTTCATGAGCTGAAAGACTTGACCGATTAAACTAGGACCGAATTCGGACCGGGCCACTTTGAGTCGATTTTAGAATTTTATTTTTAAAATGCTAAATTTTTAATAATATTATGAAAAACTCCAAAAAAAAAATATAGGAAAAACTTTACTTTAGTGTCTTTTTTTGTATGTTAAGTACAAAAATGCTCATATAATTAAAGTTTATAAAGGTTATTAAGAATATTCTTAACCATTATCTAAGATTTTATGCATAAATATAAATTCAAGGAAAAAATTGTTCTGATTTAAGATCGGTTTTTATGTGGGTTTTGGACTGAATAGGACCGAAGAAATAAATTTCTAGGCCCAGAGACCGAACCGGTTAATATGGTCTGGCCTGATCCAAGGTTGGTCCGGCCTAGTCCAGATTATTTTTTTGATCGAGACCAATTTTTGAACACCCCTAATTGAGACCTACAATAAGCGTAACACTATGCTTTCAATAGTAATAATTGACCTATGGGCTATGGCTATAATGTTCACGTGTGTGCATTTGGTACACTTCGTACAACGGTACAAGTATAGTACACAAAAAGGCAAAATCAATTTTCTAACATACTCTCCGTGTCTCCATTTATTTGCTTGAGAACTGACTATATTTTTTTTGAAGCAAACCGTAGAAGATTATATTATTTCTTATATATATATTAGGGCTGAGCAAAACTACCCGAAAAATCGATTCGTAACCGTTTCGAAAATTAGGGTACCCGATCCGATAATCATAACGGTTCGGGTACCCGTTCTGATAATTTGTTATCGAGTATGGTTATTGGGTATCATTTTAAAATTAACGGTTTTTCGATCCGTTCCGATAAGCATTTTTTTGCCTTTTTCCCCTACTTAAATCTATTTTTTTTAAATCTAAACTCTTACTTTACTATATAATTATTTTATAATATCAATGATTTATAATATTATTAATAATTTGGTCAAAATTATATGATATTGTTGTGAATTAGTGGTAAATTATATTTTAATAACTACATAATTAAGTTTAATTATCATTATTGGATATCTTATTGGGTACCTGATAACCGATCCTAAAATCCGGGTACCCGAACTTATCGGTTCGGGATATGGATATCACTTTTAGGGATTTTGGGTATCGGGTACCCGAACCGTTAGTACTAATGGTACGGGTACCCGTCCCATACTCACCCCTAATATATATATATATATATATATATATATATATATATATATATATATATATATATATATATATATATATATATATATATATATATATATATATTACCATAAAAAATTAAAAATTGTTTTTTTACCACCCGCCGTAAAAAACCTAACGGGATTTTTTAAATTCTTCAATTTCTCGTGTCAAACACATGGTGTTTAAGGGTTTTGGGGTCATTTTGTCTCTGAGTTTCCAATTTGAGGTCAAAATTTACAAAAATGATCGAAAATGCCTCATTTTGCGTGTTTAAAAATATTTTGATTTGCATGAAACATGCAAAATGAGGTATTTTCGATCATTTATTTGTCAATTTTAACCTGAAATTGGTCCCAAATGATCTCAATGTCCCCCTAAACCTATGAAGAATATGTTTTGCGCATGAAATTCGAAAAAGAATTTTTAATCGTTAAATTTAACGGTTTTTTTTTTACGATAGGTGGTAAAAACAATTTGTAGAATTTTTTTTTGTGGTAAAATTAAAAGTTTTAGAAGTTTTGATGATAATTTTTCGATTTTTTTTTTTGTAGTAAAAGTCAAAAAAATCCTTTTTTTTTTGGGAAGAAAAAATGTATTAGCGGGAAATGAATGAAAATTTATACTCTGAAGGTTATAAATTCTATGGTAATATCGCACAAAATATTTGATATCTTACCATAATGGCATACTGTGACTGATAAGGTATCAAATATTCTTCTTTGGAGATCTAAACTATTGATTATAACTTAAAAGGTGGACTAGTGGAAAGAGAATGAAACCTCTGAAGTCTAGGTCCAGGGTTCAAGCATTGGTACCACCTCTCTTTCTCTCTAAAAAAAAATATTGCACAGAATATTTGATACCTTACCAGTCACGTGCTAGTAACGTACTCACGTGATCTGTGACCTGTAATGACCCTCATCAATCTACTGTAGAAATCCCTTTTGGCTTTTGCTTATTGTTTTTTTTTTAAGGTTGCCCACCCGGTTCATCGGAGCTTAGCTCCGACTACATCCGGATCCGACTCGAGTAGCACACCTGACTTATGGTGGGTGAGTCTCCCAACAAGAGTTTCTGCATACGGTGAGGCTCGAACCCGAGACCTCCCTTAATCGACATCAAGTTGCTTACCACTTGAGCCAACTCTTATCGGTTGCTTTTGCTTATTGTGCCTATACGCAGTTTAAAAAAATATATTCATAACAATTTGGTTCAATGGGACACTCTACATACTTAGATTGCCTGAAATTCTTATTCTTTGGATTTCTAAAAAATTGAGCTTTACATCATAAAACTAAACAAATTATCCATGAAAGTACATGCTAATCAAATGAAAGAATTATGCAAGATACACAGAATTACTTGTTCTAAAAAGTATTATATTACTCCTACTATCTTCAAAATTGGGGTAAAATTAGTGATCAGCGGCAAAGCCCCACACCTAGTTGCAACCAAAAGCTCTTAAAACACCTCTGTAAGTTGCAAATAAATATAGAGCTGCCGTATAATGACTTATTTGGTTTCCATCTTTATACACATTGTGGATAAATCTAACATGGATAAACTCTGCTGTGTCCCAAACTGCAACCAGTTGTTTGCACAAATCAGGGCCTCTAAAGTAACTGGCTTTAGAGAACTTCTGTGACTATCCAACTTCTTGCTTAGAGTATCAAAAACAGAGTCCCCAGATATTGTAGCAAAGGGTATTGACAATATATCAGCAGCCATCTTGGAGAGAGTCGGGTATTTAATTCGGTGCAACTTCCACCATTCAAGAACGTCAACCTCTTGAGACCCTCTTGGCAATAGTGGCTCGTCTAGATATTGATCTAGTTCTGATTTTGTCTGATGATTGCTTGAAATCTCTGATATATACACATCAAAATCTGATAGCCCGTCAGGTGGAGGTAATGAATCTTCATCTTGATGGGCCTCTGCTTTAATGAATCCTTCATACCTTTGGTCTACAAAAATTGATGGCAAAGGTAAGGTCTGCGCAACATATTCAAAGTACAACTCATGTAAACCATCATCGACAGCCCTAAACCACATTTCACCTTCTTCCCCGAAAACCTTGGCAAAGCTGAACTCCACAAGCTTCAACTTATACCTAGGGTCCATAGCTACAGCCATAGCTAAGACCACACAACAATCCCTCCAATATCTGTCAAATTTTTCATACAAAGGTCTGACAAAGCTGCTGACATAGTTATCCTCACTCAATGCCCCATGAGCCAGCTCCATCTGAATTTTACAAACTTCATGGAAAAATGCACTGGCAGTCGGATAGGATTTGGTTGTAAGTATGTCGGCAGCATCAAAGAAAAGTTTCAAATAGACACAAAGAACTTCTATACACTTCCAATCATCCATTGAAGGAGCTAGCTCGTAATTAGGATCAGAAGCATCTAGACAAGAAAAAACTTCCTTCAACTCACATGCTATTGAGAGCATATGGTAAGTTGAATTCCACATCCGTTGATCATCAATGACTAAACTCTCTGTATATGGAATTTGAAGTTGTTGTCTGAGTTTATTGAACATATCTTCACGAGATTCTGAAACTTTTACATACCTCACACTGTCACGAACCTTGGCAACAGCTTCTCTCGTTGCCCCTATAGCTGCTAGTGCCATACGGCTCATGACACGGGCATAGCAATTCGCAAGTAAATACTGACCATTTAACATGTGAGAATTCTTTATAGAAAGCAGGCCCCTAAGGTTACCAACAACAGCTTCATTAGCAAAAGACTGATCAACAGCAAGTGCAAACAACTTGCTTCCCAAACCCCACTCAGACAGACATGAAACAACAGCATGATTGAAAGCAACCTGTGAATCTGGAAATGGCACACGAACAAATCTAAGGACCCGAGAATTTAATCTCCAATCAGCATCAATAAAGTGCCCGGTCAGAATAGCATAACCCAAAGTTTGGTCTGATGTCCAGAGATCCACAGTCAAGCTGACACGCCCAGGGATTTCAGCAAGAGTATCAGCAAGTGACTTCTTCTCTCTCGTATAAATAGCCACAATCTCACTGTGAACAGAGTCAAAACTTACCATAGAGAAGTTAGGTTGAAGAATCTTAGCAAAGTCAACAAATCCAGGAAGTTCCACCATGTTGGTTGGGTAATCATGAAGTATGATCATTCTAGCTATCTCATTAATGCAGCGTTCTTGGTCTAATGCAATGGTTACTGAACCAGGGGATGCTCTGCAGCGCTTTCTTGGAGGAGCAGTGATAGTGCTATTTTGGGAACGAGGTGTGTAGGTAATAAGTTGATTCTTTTCCAGTTTAGAGCGGTTTGCAGGACAGATACCTAAGGATATGTGTCGCTTGAGGTGGCTGGTGCCTGCTTGCTTTTTTCCAGTAATGTAAGCAAATGACTTGTTGCACTGTTTACAACAAGCCCTAGTACAACCAGGGCTAACATTTTCAGTAGTGAAGTACTCCCAAACCATAGACTTCTTTCTCCTGCGCTTATTTGGCTGCACTTCAGGAGTCACTACATCATTATCATTTGCTGCAGCGAGGCCATCACCATTCATAATGCCATTACCATTGACATTCAAGGATCCATTTTCAATCATACCATTCATCTGCACACATTCAAGCAATTGTCCCATCAAACACTCGATTGAATCAACTTTTAAGGCCCACAAAAATAAGGTGCCATAGGATTTCCATCAAAGCTAACATTCTTTCAATATAAGGCCAAAGTACAAAATTCTACATACATATATGCATATAAATCAATGATGATGATGATGATAAAAAATAAAAACAAACATCAAGTATACTACTGTGGAAGTGTCAATAAAAAGAAGCCATTAATCAAATAATCCAGGATAATAGAAAAAACTAAACAAAAATTGCAGGAATATTTCAATCATGCTTCATTATCAATAAAGCCTTCGACTGCTCCACATCTCAAGACTAATTACCGTTCACAATCTTGACTCGACACGAAATAGCCCCTTAACTGAATTACACTAAAGTATAAAATTGAGGGCATTAATATAAATTGTAATAGAAATTAACTTTATTATCGAAACAATGAAACCCTAAATAAAATACAACCCAATTCAACTAGCATTATCACTAAACTTTCCAACTTTCAGACCTTAACTTATCAACAAATTTAATAATGGCAATAAGGCATAAACACCCAGATAGAAATACAGTACCCAGTTGAAAATTAACTCCTAAAATACACAAGACACAAATAAAATTATCAAAACACTAACATAAAACCCCAGAAAAATCAATCCCCATTAAAAAAATCCAAAATTTATAAAACCCCAGAAAAATTAGCATACACTTGATAACAAAAACGAAAATAATAACAAGATTATACAAAAATTAAACATGAAAAAATAGAAATTTAAGGGAAACTTACAGTGAAATCGAAGGGTTGTTCCGAGTTATATTAGGGTTTAAGAAGAAGTTGCAGAGGAGGGAAGAAGGGGTTTGGGAGGAAGGAGAAGTTAGTGGGCTTGAGCTTCGATAAACCCTAAATTGGACCTAGAGGCAATTTGGGGGTCCATATTTAATATTTATAGAAATTTATAATGCTTAGAATTTTAGCCCACCTTATTGGCTACATCCTAACCGTTGATATTTTTGAGATCTTATTTTACGTTCTGATTGGGATCGATGTTTATTAAAAATCTTAGTTTTTGAATTAGATTAATTAAATATCTATTCTAGTACTAAATTTTATTTTATTTTTTTTTTTAAAAAAATAAAAAAGATAGGGTGAGCTTTGTGAGAGAGTCTTTTTTTTGAGGCAATGTGAGAAAGTCTTTATTTAATGTGACTATGTGTTTCTCACCAAAAAAAAAAAATACACACACACAAAAAAAAAATAAAATAATAATAATAAAATGAACGTTAGGTTGACTAGAGGGAACGACGGGGCTCTACGACCGGCAGATGTGTTGCTTTATTCTTGGAGTAGAGGCCTTGATGTATGTGTTTTTACTTGACGGAGTCTTCACCTTTGACACAATTGGGGTTGTCTGACTTCGTTCCTGGTCGTGTTGTGTCGGCGGCAGCTCAGCGAAAGTGAGACAAGTATAGGGCGAGTTGCAGGGCTATTGACTATGGTTTTTTTCCTTTCTCCTTTTCTTCGTTGGGGGAATTAGAGAAAAATGGTATTGCGTTGCTGAAACGGGTTCAAGCGTTCGCTAAGGCTCAGGATATTGGTGCTTGTACAGCTGCTCACATCTTCAGCAGGATCGGGTTCGCTATAGCTAGAGGGGTGGGGGCCCAGATTGTATCTCGGCTCCCCACCAATTTCTTCCAGTTTCTTGTAAATTGATTGACTTTGTAGGTTTTTTTTGATATTTTTATAATAATAATAATAATAATAATAATAATAATAATAATAAATGTGATTATGTGAAAATGATAATAACAATAAGGTTACAGATTCTTAATTAAGACGAGACAATAATTAATTTATTGTAAGATGGGTCTTAAAAGTATAAATAATATTGAAATTGTAGAAAAGGCAAGTGAAAGTTGAGATTATTGTAGAATAAACAAAATTTGGGACTATTAAATCGGCTAAAGTTGATATTATTAAAGTGGCTAGTTTAGATCCCGTGCCATGCACAGTTGCTATTAAAATTATCATTACGCAATTTGACTTAACAAAACATCTTTTTATCACTAAGGGCCTGTTCACATTTACTTAATTTTAGTTCAGTTCAGTTCTGCTCTAATCAGTTTAGTTCAGTTCAGCTCTTAATTTTCCCCTCTCATAAAATATTATTTCAGCTCAATTCAGTTCAGTTTCAATCAGTTCAGTTCAGCTCCAATCATATCAGTTCAGCTCAGTTCAGTAAATGTGAATAGGCCCTAATTATCGTTTTATGAAGATTATTGTATACATTCGTGTGCAAAGCACACTCAAAAGTGTTTCTTTATTGATGATAATTAAATGAATAATATTTATCAAATTATATAAAAAAAAATCTTGATTATATATACATTGAACCTATCCCAAGTAAATATAAAAATCTCCGTCACTTCTCCCAATTTGACTTTTGTACAATATAATTACATACACCACATTGACTAAAGGTTTGCGTATTTTCAACAATTGCTTAAATCCAACTTTTTATTTAAATCCGTATAGCATCCCGTGGAAAGGAATAATATTTTGTAGAAAATAATATTAATCCAAAAATACCTTAATTCATGTCCAAATATACCTTAATAAAAAAAAGATATTTCTAATTCCAAACTTTTATTTACTCGTATAAGATGTACTATTTTCCCAATCTATGGTAAATAAAAAAATTTAGTGTATGTAGGGAAATTGGCAAGTGAAAATCACACTATAAAGTCACATTTATTTTAATTAAATATAATTAATATTGATTCTTGCCATACTTGTTAAGATGTTCATGATTTTAACAGGAAATAAATGAAAAGGGAAAAAAAAATATATTAAAATAAGTTATTTTGGCAAGAAATGTCCACAATATAAAGTTAATTATACATAATTAGGTATATATTTGGTCAATAATATCAATAATAAAATATTTATTGTAGTATAATATTTGTAAAATATGTCTAAAATCTTTTTATGATATACCTTTTTTAATTTTTAGTTATCATTATTGTTTTTTAAAATATATAGAGTATATTAAATCTTTTATTTTAAGTAATTATTATATAATGAATTGACGATAGTAATAATTTTAGAATAAGATCTTTTTAAAATATTAAAAAAAAAACTAAGGACACATCCGGAGATGACATGTGTTATCACTGTGTGTCTTTTAATATATAGTTATTGATGATATTTTTTTCCTAATTTTAATTTATTGTATACAAATATACCATTACATTGATTATTTAGTCAGTTCTATAAAAGGTCAAGATTTAATACCAAATTTTAAAGGTCTAGATTGAAAGATTACAATAGCTACAATAATATTATTGTATATCATTACGAATTGGGCCCTACCATATGTAGTTGAATGGGAAAAAAAAGGTGGAAAAATGGTCAATAGTGCAATGTGCAAATGGTGCAACATTTTTATTATGGATTTTTTTTTTTTTTTTTGGGAGTATTATTCAACCCTTTAATTCTTACTTTCTTAAAGTTGAATATATTTGTCCAACCCTTTTATTACTTCTTTTACCAAATATATCTTGTTATATTAATATTCAATTATTCAAAGTATTATCGTACCTTGTCAAAGGCGATCAAATAGTTATTCCTTAGTCCTTACCTACGCACAAGTCATGAAAACATGCATATAAATACACGTACATATTTACACTTCTTATCTTAAGCATTAAATCACATTCCATTCATCTGTTTTGTGCAAAAATCCTTAGCTTGTTCTTAATTTTAATTTTTTTAACAAACTAAACTTTAATTTAGGCAATTCCACAAAAATGAGTTTCTCTTATAATAAGATAATTAAATCATTGATGATCTTGATTTTGTTCTTGAGCTTCAACCTTCTTATAGAGCATGGAAATTGTAGGCCTTTAAAGGGTGATGAAAACGTTCTCTATAAGCGCGACGACGACGTTCAATGGATGAAGGAGTTGGAGGTTAAGTCTAACCCTTCCCCACCATCACATTCAGGTGGTCCGACTTACATCCCTGGTCCAGGAAGAAATTGAGCTTGACTATAAGCTCATGCATGTGTTGCTGAAGAGGAAAATAATATTATTATTGGTTGAATAGGTTCTAAAAAGATTACAATGATATTTAATTAATTTGATTTTTTTTAATGTACTTGTTGACGCTTACAAACCAAAAAATAAAAATAAAAAAATATACACATGTATTTATAAAGATGGAAGAATAATTTGTAGTTTGTACTTCATATTTATATACTTTCAAAGTTTCAATTAATAGTTTTGTATATCCCGGGTGATATCTAGGTTGTTTATTGAAACTTTAGATAAACTTTTTTTTTTTTATTTACATGCCACAATTTAAAGAGTGTAATTAATACAAATAATGTTATCCTTTTTCATTTATTACGGACCTTTGTCCGTTTTATTTTTTGCAATTTTAGAATATTTTATATCTCACAAATAATACCCCAAAGTTGCAAAAAATATAAAACGGAGGTAGTACGATATTTTGACGTAAGATATATACCATGAAAAAAATCGTATACCATAATTTTTTTTAAAGTTATTCGAGTTTTCTACTCCAGATTAATACACTTAAAAATCATACTTGTAAAATTAAAATATAGTACTACCGCTCATCATAAGGCTATGGGTGAATTTGGGAAAGAGCTTAGTCTATTTGGAAGTTCTTGAAAGTAACGAACTCAACTACGCAAGTAGCATAGTTAGAGCAATTAGAAGAAACTAGTTATTGGTCCGGGCGATGCCCCGGTATAATGTAAATTTATAAATTTTATGAAATTTAATTAAAAAAAGGTTAATGTTGAATAATTATAATTGAGTAAGTGAAAATATCATAATTTAGACTACTATTTTTTTTTATTAATATTATATTAAAAATGTCAAATATAAATATGAAGGTTATACATATGAATAGTTTTTGAAGTAAATAAATCATTAATATAGAGAATTAAAGCTATACTAATAAAGAGTTTTTAAGTTAATTACACGTTATTGCATTTCAATGCGGTGAGAGATGGGTGTTACATATAGGATGACACATGGCGCACATGTGGCATCAAATTATAATAAGGATACACATGGCTTTAGCATGTTAATCCCATGAGTTTTAATAATAATATAGATTAGTTTGGAGTTGCACCTTATATCTAGGATAAATTGTGATTTTAATGTCTTTAAATGTATTCATATTTGACAAGCGGGTAATAATATAGCTGCACATATATGGTAGCTAAATAAAAGATCACAAATTCTTATCTGCGACGACTACCCTGGCTGGCCACACAGTGTGGTTTCCGGTGTGGTCATCTGTCATGTGGGTTACCTCGTTAGTGTTATAGGGATTACCCTGGTCAATGTTACATGATTACTTCGTCACTATTACAAGGGTTACTTCATTAGTGTTACAAGAGTTACTTAATTGGCCAGTATTACAAGGATAATTCGATCAATATTATAACTTATAAGGATTATAGCTTAGAAAAATCCATAATTTTTTTTATTCATTTATTAATAAAAAAAAATTAGAGTACATACTACGACACTATTTCTCAAAATAATTTAAAAATTTAAAAGATACTACGATGCTATCTATCTATTACAGTAATTTATACCAAGGGCCCGTTCATATTTACTTAATTTCCCTAGTACAAAAAATTTTCTTTTCTTTTCTTTTTTTTTTTTTTTTTTTTTTGCAAAATCTTTGAGTAAACTATTTATACTTTATGATTTTCTTTCCATTTTGACAATATCTTCCATATATATACCCAAATAAAATATTTCTGAATATGTTTTATATAATTTATATTTTTGTAATATTATTGTCAAAAATATTTAACAACCGTGCATACTTTGCAATACACTTTTAACCTAGTAGTTGCAATACACTTTTAACCTAGTAGTGCTAACTACTAAGCAATACACTTATACACACAGAAAATACAAAACAAAACAAAACCAACGTTTTCTCTTCATTGTTCTTGAATCTAGCATACTCTGCATTCTTCGCAGCTCTTAAGGTACGGTAGATTTCTTTATTTAACCATTGAATTTCAATTAATAACGTTAATCATCAAATTGATTCAATTCAGGGTTCTAAGGCTAGTAATGTTAATCTAGCATACTCTGCACTCACCCTTGTTAATGCAAGGTACTTGCCATTATTAATATCTCTAACCTTTGTTGAGACGAATATAAATATGTCTTTAATAGTATAGATTTATAACTAAATTCGAATATAGTTTGAGCAAATTTGTTTGTAAACCCTTTCAATTGGTAGGCTCACCAATTTGCCTGATGAATTGTTAATTCAGATCATATCTCTGCTTCCTACCAAGGATGCTGCTGCTATTTCCGTCTTGTCTAAGAGTTTGAGGCATGTTTTCCCTTTGATTACCAGCCTCGACTTTGATGTTTCACCTGTATCTCTTTGTTTGAAACATCCCTATGCAACTGAATGTTACCCTACTTTGGTGAGCTTTGTTGATAATGTACTCCAATCGCGGTATCTCACCAAGTTCAGACTTCAAGTTAGCAACGGGGACTTTGCTAGAGTGTTTTATAATGGTTAGCACACCATGCTATCTTATTGTCTTCCAAACTTGAAATTGCTCCTCTTGTCTGTGTATGTCATATTTGATGATGGCTTTCTGCCGAGGCTAGTTTCAAGTTGCCCTGTACTCGAAGACCTTACATTCAAAGCCATTTCAAACCGTGTCAAAATCACTACTATTACGTCAACTTCCCTTCTTAGAATGTGTTTAAATGTGCGTATATGGGATGATTTTGAAGATGACTTCAATGAATTGGTGCTAATCAATACTCCCAACCTTAACTACCTTGACTACCGTGATCATTTAGCAAAATGTTACTCGATACCAACAATGCATCGTCTTATTAAAGCAAATCTGTGTGTAATTGAGACATTAGATTCAAATGTGTTTGAAGTAGCTTTTCAGAAAATAATTAACCTCATTAGACCATTGTCTTATGTTCAACATTTATCGTTGCAGGGCTTCTTAGTGCCGGTATGTCTCTCTCTAATTTTGTCTGATGCCATTTTTCCTGTACTCTTTGAATCAAATTTACCAGTTGGCTAACCTATGGTTAACTATTCGGCCAGGGTGCTGAAAAGGTCTTAATAAAGGATCAACTGCCCGTGTTTCATAATCTTATACATCTAGAGCTGGGTGAAACTGAAATATACTGCTGGAATAAACTGTTGTTGCACTTTCTCAACTGTTCACCTGTCTTAGAAACACTTGTTTTTCAAGAGGTTAGTGTGTGATTTAGTATTTATCTTACATACATGATATCGATTACATATGACCATATGGGCGATATTGAAACTCTAAGTGAAACTTTTTAATTATAATTGGTTTATTTTATAGGGACTAGTCATAAATCAGTATGAGGGGACTATGGGTGATGATATCACAAAAAAAGAACTGGAGTTGGAACGAGAATTTTTTCGAACAGATCATGAAATTCCTGTATGTTGCAGATATCATCTGAGAAGAATAGTGATTAAGGAATATTTTGGAATAGAACGCGAAGTGGTAATAAGCCATTTTTTCCTGAGACATGCATTAGTTTTGGAGGAACTAGTCATATGCTTAGCCCGGGATAGATATGCAATTCCATATCAGAATCATATATCAGTTGAGAACACATTGAAGAATTCACCAAAAGCCTCAGTCACTTGCTCGATTCAAGTATTATGATCACCATAGTCCATGTTAACATCAATCTATTCATTATGCTAGTAGTAATATTGGTGAAAGGTCTTTGTGCTTCCAAAGAAATCCCTTAAGCGAATTCCGGTTGCTTTAAAAACTTCCTTTGACCTGTTTGTGCTCAATAAAAATATTTACAAGCTAAGATGGAGTCTAAACGAGGCTGAGTTATGCAGATTATTAAGGAACTTTAAATTAGCAAGAACAATGGATTTAGCATTTTGTTTTCCTAGGATTTTTAGTGAAAAAACACATGTTATAGGTTTGGTTTGCTATGTGTCTATTATAGGTTTGATGTTAGCTTAGGGATCTTCCTAGAAGGGCTGGCTATGCTTTGCTCCATTTTTTTGTGCTTGCTTGTGGTTTTTGGGGTTTTGTTATATGGAATACTTGTTAGTGTTTGGGTAATAAAACGACTAAAAAAAGCTAGTATAGCGTATAAATGTTCATGAAGCAATTTGACTATTAAGTATAACATTGATTGCTTTTGTTAGTCTTGTTACTCTTTCCGTTCTTTAAAGATTTTTTCAATTGCATTTTTGATTAGCAATATATACTTCGTATAAATGTTTAAGGTTTGACCAATGAATTAGAAGAATTAAAAAATGCAATTGGAAAGCCTTTAAAAAATGTATACCTCGAATATAATAAACTTCACTATTACTAGAGCTCTACCAAATTCAAATTTTGCTCATAAGCTCCACTATTAGAAAAATTAATTAGTTGGATGCTCCACTTGGGACATTGGTTGCATGCTGTGCAACAACTAGGAGATGGAAAAATCTGTGTCAAAAAACAAATGGAAAAATGCATACTAATGTGATATCGTATTGCATTGTGTCGGTATGAAATTTCAAAATATATCAATGTTCAAATAATTTGGAAAAAGATATTAGGTGAGTACAATCACGGCTAAAAATAAAAAAAAAAACTTTATAAACTGAACTCTTAAATTGTTGAGTTCACTCCAAATAAATATGGATTAAATCATAATTCATTTTCAATGCAATATTCATGACCAATGCAACGTTTAACCGTCCTTATGACCTTATGTAACATAAGTTCACTTTTTTGTTTAAAAAAGTGATCCGATTCCGAAAATTATAACACGACCCAACCCATTTGACAAGTATTTAATCTCTTCGTTTTTAAATACTTACTCCATCTCCAATATTGTACTAATCTATAAATTGTAACTATTGAAAATTAAATCTATTCATTGAAGCGATTTCAACAAGTAACAACTATTTAAAAAAGAGAGAGTTGGGTAAACCCAATGTACAACAAATGCCAAAATCTACAAAGTAGCAAACAGTCCAAACATGATTTGTTAAACGTCGCCCGCAAATCTCCACATAAAGCCCACAAATATTTTTACTTTGACTCTTTTGCCCTTTTTCTAATTTTTACCGAAATCGTAATTCACTCTCACGAAGAATGTGGAGCTGGAGTGGATCGCCGAGGGACACCGAAGAGCCGTCATCGTCGCCGAAAAACGAGATAATCCGGGGAAAAAATTACGAAAAGTAGGGGTGGCGTCTGGTCAGGACGCCGCCACCATGGCTGTGGCGTCAGGGCCAGACGCCGCCACCATGGCTGTGGCGTCCTGGCCAGACGCCACCCCTACTTTTTGTAATTTTTTTTTTTTTTGTAATTTGTTATTTTTTTATTTCTTTTATTTCTTTTTTTTTTGTAATTTTATTTAAACTTTTTGTAATTTTTTTTAAACTTATTTAAAGTTTTTGTTTTTTTTAATTAAACATTAACACAAAAAATTCTGATTTAAAAAAAAAATATATACATTAGAAATAAAAACATTAACACATAAAACAAAAATATTAAACATTAACAAAAGAATTCTGATTTTCCAAAAATAAAAATATTAGACAAAAAAAAAAAAAAAAAAAAAAAAAAAAAAAAAAGTGGTAGGGCGCCTGGCCAAGACGCCCAGCCCCTGGTGGTGGCGTCTGCTCCGGCCGCCGGAACCAAGGGGCTGGCGTCTGACCTGGACGCCCAGCCACGGCGGTGGCGCCTCTGGAAAACGCCACAACCGTGGCTAGGCGTCCAGGTCAGACGCCAGCCCCTTGGTTCCGGCGACCGGAGCAGACGCCACCACCAGGGGCTGGGCGTCCTGGCCAACCGCCCCACCTCTTCTGGTTTTTTTAAAAAAAAAATTTAAAAAAAACCCTGCCACCGTGAGCCGTCCTTCCCTCCGCCGCTGTGGCCGCCAAGTCCTTGCCTTGCCGCCTCAACATTGCCGTATTTCCGGGTGATTAGAGTGTGGGTATGGGTTAGATTTTTTTATTTTAGGTTTAGGGCAATAAGGTAAATTCAATATAGATTTGTGGCTTTATGTGGAGATTTGCGGGCGATGTTTAGCAATCCACTTCTCGATACCGACCACCTTGACACCTTGTGAAGTTGTGATAAACTACTTCCCCAAATTTCCAAAAACTGCAAATTTTCTCCTCAACTACAAAAATGGCAGTAAATAACCCATTATCACCCCTGAAAAATTGAAACTTAGAAAGAGAGATATATTATAAAACTAGTATGAATGCTTAAGGGATGGATTTTACACTGTTGGATTTCGGAATTTCTGATCATCTTATATATGAAAGATTAACTCGTGAATTTGAAGATTCTTCACCAATCGTCCAAGTACAATCTACCTTTCGTCATGATGGTTCTTCCCCTTTGCCTTTGGGCATGGATTGGAGCTCCCCTCCTCAAAAATGGGTATGAATTTTTCTTTATAATTTCCCCAATTTTAATTTTTATAATTTCTGGGGTTGGGAATGCTTTTTTCTTTATAATTTCCCCAATTTTAATTTTTATAATTTCTGGGGTTGGGATATTTAATTGATTATTAATTGGGATTTTGGATTTTGTAAGCTTGCTAGTACAATTTTAGTGGGTTTTTGATTTCTGGGATTGGGTATTTTTGGGTTTTGTAAGCTTGCTAGTACAATTTTAGTGGGTTTTTGATTTCTGGGATTGGGTATTTTTGGGTTTTGTAAGCTTGCTAGTACAATTTTAGTAGGTACTCGTATTTGATTTCTGGGTTTCAGTGATTTTTTACCCCCCTTTTTTATAATATAATTGCATGATTTTAGTCAATTTGATGTTGGAAATTTGATTTTCTGTGAATGATGATGATGGCTATGAAGCTCATGACTCTTGAAATATACTGCAAGTTGGAAAGTGTATAAGGAATGTGACATAATGTGGGGGGTGAATTGGTTATAATTGAATACTATGTAATTGTATTGAATGATGTTGATCAAGGTAAAGGATTTGATGAATTAAAGTGGCCCTCTTTTCGCATTAGCGATTGTTTTTATAGATGACAGGAGAGACTGGTTAAATTAGAGAATTAGCAATGTGCTAAAAGTGCTTAAAAGAGAGAAGGGGATAGTGATTCATAGCAGGCAAAAGATTATGAAACGCTATGTAGTATGTACCTGTTAAGTAGCTATCAGTTCTGCTGAACCAAATCAAAAATTTTTTGGAATGAGAAATGCCTAGAGTTGGTACACATGGGAAAATAGAATGCTCTGAGAACTATCTTGATTTGAAATTTTGGAATGGGAATGTTAAGAGTTAAGACAAGTGCTCGATATGGATATTATATGTCATTTTAAAATGAGAATGTTAAGTGAACAATTACTAGAAATTACAAAATTATAAAGGTATCACAAAGTGGATTGTTATTTTATTTAATCAACTAAATTGATAGCAAGTAAACTATAGAAGAAATTCTTTTCTGGTTAATAGAAAATATTCATTTATTAAAGGAAAGATTAATGCATTGATATTTCAAGTAAAGATGAGTTTTTGAAATTATTTGATTTGTCTGCAGGATGGACGTCACACTGTTTGGCCTCATGATCCTCCCACTGGATGGAGTTATTGCATCACTATTCCTTCTTGGACAACTCTGTCGGATCCAAGAGGCTCTGGTCCAGTTGTGGTAAGAGTTACCTATTTTTTTAACATGATTTGCCACTTCAACTTTTTATGAAAAAAGAAAGGCAATAGCCCATTTGTATGTGATGTTTGTGTCATGTTGTAATTGCATGAAATCCATCCCAGTCAAAACAACAGCTTTAATTCCATAAATTAGTAGACCATAAAAACTTTCTTTTATCTTCCGTTACATATTTGCTAATTCATTGTATTCACCATTGCAATCAGACAATTTCATCAGATATCATGGATTTGTTTTCTATGAGGTTTCACTTGTTATTTAATTCATAAATGTCTTTGATCAATTTTTTTTTTGTTTTCCTGGGAAGTCATAGGAAGGCCTGACAGATGGAAGTAAAATTGTATGAAGCGTGTACCCCTTTCCTTATGATTTAACTTATGTATATTTTTGAAACATGTAATTTTCCTTCTGAAGATGGATTAAAGACCTTTGAGATTGTAGTATATGAAATCACTACAGTTTATTTTTGAATAGTATTTCCAGCTTACACAGCTTCCTGCCCCCCCCCCCCCCCCGTCTTTTCAATTGGGTTACATTCATAGTTTCTACTTGTTTTGGCTGTTGGGTACTCTATTCTCACTGCTATAAGCAGCAGTATTACAGGGTCCAAGTTGGCATACAGACACCAGAAGCAATCACGAGCACTCGAGGAATATTGCGTAGATTTAGTGATTTTTTGAAGTTGTTTTCAGAGGTTAGCCCTTTTTAATTTTTGTAAATTTTTTTTATCAGGGTGCTTTTTTCTATATATACCCTGTAATTGTTGGTGGTGCAATATTCTTAGAAAGCTCATGCATAGAATATCTAAGAGATCTTTTGCTAATTTACTACTGCTTGGCTGCTTGCAGTTATTATTAATATAGCTCAATTTTTTTGCAGCTCCAAAAGCTATTTCCCAAGAAATCTCTGCCTGCTCCTCCTCCGAGGAAGCTGATGGGAGCTCAAAGCAGGAGTTTGATTGAAGAGGTGAGAATAATGCTCCTTTTGATGAATTCTG